CCTCCGCCTCCTGGGTTCAAGTGAGTCTTCTGCCTCAGCCTCCTCAGTAGCTGGGACTACAGGCGCCCACCACCCCACCCTGCTAATTTTTGTGTTTTTAGTAGAGACGGGATTTCAACATGTTGACGAGGCTGGTCTCAAACTCCCGACCTCAAGTGATCTGCCCGCCTCAGCCCCCAAAAGTGCTGGGATTACAGGCGTGAGCCGCTGCGCCTGGCCACTGTTAGCTAGTTTTGAATAGATATGAAGTATTGCTGACTGTGGTCACCCTTTTGTGCTACCAAATACTAGATCTTACCCATTCTATCTATTTTTTGTACTTATTAAGCATCTCCACTGCACGTCACATCTTCCCACCCTCTTGCGAGATTTCTAAACCTTTTAAACAGCTGCAGAGAGCCCAAACCATTCTTTTTTACAAGATTGAATTGAAACTCACTTGTATCGACAGGCAAAAAGGAAACTAGATTTGTTTAATGGTGTCAACAAACCCTGTCTTTGTTATGCTACATGTCCACAAAAACTGCATTTTAAAGAATTGATGATGGAATATTCTACACAAACTTTTCCAAAACAACAGCAATCGTTTGTTACTGTGGCCGGACTCAGTGGCTCACGCCTGTCACCCCAGCAATTTGGGAGGCCGAGGCGGGCGGTTCAGCTGACGGCAAGAGTTCCAGGCCAGCCTGGCTAACCTGGCAAAACCCCGTCTCTACTGAAAATACAAAAAATCAGCCGGGCACGGTGGTAGGAGTTTGTCATCCCAGCTACTCAGGAGGCTGAGGCAGGAGAATCACTTGAACCTGGGAGGTGGAGGTTGCAGTGAGCCGAGATCATGCCACTGCACTCCAGCCGGATGACAACAGTGAAACTCTGTCTAAAAAAAAAATATATATATATATATATCGGTCAAAATTTATGTTGTCCAAATGTGAAACATTTTCGGGATCTAATAAAATTAACGTGTGATTATAAATCATTGTTTCTTGCCTGTCGTTTTGGTTAGGTGGATCACATAAGTGATTTTTTGTGAAGTATTCTTTATACAGTTTTGCAGTCGTTCAGATTAAAAGCAGAAAGTCAGGAGAAAAGAACGCCTCATGTGTCAGTTTCCAGAACCTTCTCTTTGGGCTCCATGTTGATGGCTGAATGCATTTGGGACAGCAGTAAATCTGCCACTTGAAGGTGCTGGGAATCCTTTAATGGCTTCAGAAGAATGCAGATGCCAAGGCCCCACCCCCACCCCCAGAAGAAAGCAGATGCCAAGGCCCCACCCCCACCCCCAGAGGCCCCGATTCACAGGTGGTACCTGGGAGCTTGCATTTCTCATCTGCTGTCCGGAAATGCTGAGGTTACAGGCCCTGAAAAGGTACTTTGGGATTCACTATGTCAGAAAATGCCACTCTGGGCCATGCACGGTGGCTCACGCCTGTAATCCCAGCACTTTGGGAAGCCGATG